TTCGCCGCCCCCCTTCTCTCCTCGCCTTTGCCCGCGGCCTGTCGGGATGTCCCGCGCGTGCCAAGGGCGAAGTCCACTCCTGCGTTGAGAATGGCGGCATGGGATTTGCCTGCGCGCAGGCGGAGCTGGTCCCGCGCCAACACCACTAGCTTCGGACCGGCGACAGCAACGGCGAACACGTTGAACGCAACGCGCAGGTCGAAGAGGCTGAACAGCTGCTCCACGAGGAATGCCAGCGCCAGCGCGACGTCCCCAACATATCTAAGAGCATCTGCACGATACTCGGCAAGCGGGAAAAAACGTTCATCTGCACTGATAGCGCAGCCGAGAACACGAGCTCCAGGAACCGCGTAGCCGGGGGAACACACAAGCATGGGATTCAGAATGTTGTTGTACCACTGCCAGCCATGACACCCTGCCCAGGCGCCATCTCCTGCGACATCACCCCCATCCGCACTAACCACACGCGCCCATCTGTAGGCTGCATGACAAGCAAATCTAAAAGCACGCAGGGCAAACTGTCACCTTTCACATGCTTTGGCAGCGGATGACGTACGTGCCCAGAACCACTTTGCGAGAGATCTCCTGAAGCAGAAAGAGCTGCCTAGCGACTTGCTACTGCACGTCTCCGCGCATCTGCTGCATCCAAACAGCGCCCGCAGGGCCCTGGCCCCGCACCATCCTTTCTGCCCCTACCCTTCATGGCGCCTGAAATGCCACGGCGAGGCGATACGAGTCAGGCTCTGCAGGAAACCGATCGCGCTCCTGCCTGCCACTGGCTTCTGCAACAGGGCTACAACCAGCCTGCGCACCCAGCTCGGCACCAGGCCGAGGACGAACAGGAGGCCCATGGTCAGGTTAGACACCGACAGGGCAGGCGCGCCCACAATAAGACGATGGCGCGGAGAGAAGCCGCCAGCTACGATCGTCGATCTTGCGAAAGAAGCTCCAACGCGAAACAACTGTCTCCCGTGGGGAAGGCGGGTTCGGGATCGCCAAATTTCGGGGCCACTCCAACTCCTCCGTGATCTGCGGCTGGTCACTCACCCACGCCTTCCTCCACTTACAGACTTCATCCGGAAACTGGCTGGTGGGACAAGATGCGCGGCTGCCGTTCTCCGTTTGCAACAGTGCATTGCGCTTGCCGGCTGCTACCTCCGCGCAGGCGCGGGCCCACTTGGCCCCTCCCGCTAGCGCCTCCGCACGCCAATCCCCCCACTCGGTGAGTTTATCCTGCCTTTCGCGGGGCAGAAGGACTGGCGTTTGAAATCTCTCGCGGGGCAGGGGGATTGACGTTTGGAAGTCAAAGAGCTTGAAGGGCGCAATGAGGGGGCCCTGCCGCGAAGCCCAAGACTGAAGAGGCCCGGGGTGCAAGGCGATGCGACAGCCTCGCGAAGCAGCCCCATCCAAAGCTCTAAACCTCCTGGGTAGCGGGACTGGAAAAGAATCCCCCCGATCTCGTCGCCGACCACGCCGATCGGACCAAGCTCCTAGAATGGACAAGATATGCTCGAAGTACCTGCCGCTCTAAATCAAGGAATCAAGCTCGCAAATCGTCTGGGACAGCCAATGCAGCGCACGATGGCAGGGCTCCTGGTCGGGGCCCTCTTGGCGCAGAACAGCTGACACACGGAAATCTCCCGACATTCGCAGGGCGCTCCTCCACGGGCCCCCTGGGGGTAACACTACAGGGCGCCCTGCAGTTCATCCCGAGACCTTCCAATCCACTCCTGCTAGCTGGTGTCTGGGCCTTCTCGAAACCGGCGCTGTTCATCGGGGCCAGGGAGACCGCAGCCACCTGGAACTTGGGACCTCCGGAGGCTGCAAGGTGGCCGCGAGGTTGTTCCCCAGGTCCTGGTAGCTGGGAGGTTCTGGCACTGGCCCCCTAAGGTGGTCCACTGGGAGCTTGGCGCAGTCAGCGAGGCGTCGCACAGTGAACCTACCCCAGTCAGCCTTGAGGCCGAGCGGCCCAGGCCGACGCGGAAACTACTCTGAGTTCATGTCCACCCTGGTCGACCTGATGCAATGAATCAACGACTTGAAAGCCATGAAGTAAACATAACAGCGGCCGGGAGTCGCTGACATGCAGGATGCCGCTGGCGACGGGATCACCAGCTGCCCTTCGTCCAGTAGGACGCAAGGCCCTCCTGGAAAAGATCAGGTTCGATGTCGCGGCCGCCCCCAACGACGAAGAGGAGACCCTGACGAAGGATGTCGGTGCCCAGCTGCTGGGCCATCTGGAGGCCGGTGGGCCCGAGGCCCTCGCCATCCCTCCAGTAGCCGCAGCGCACAGACACCGCATCCATCGCCGGTAGCTTGAAAACAAAGAGGAGCCATGAATTAACCTGTTTGGAACAGATGGCGCCTCTTGTCCTGGCACTCGCCAAGAATCAAAGTGAACACAAGAGGATCGGGTCGCCACTGCTGAGGCCCCATTCAGCCGTGACAGCACAAAAAGCCCAGAATGACTTCCAACACAGCTTCCGTATTTTCTCACGCTCAGCACACAATACTTGACAATGCTATCTAGTGATTCGAACAAGTACGTGCGAGCCTCACTCTCCAAAAATCGCAACTTCGCAGAATACCAGCTGTTGGCGTCGATTGTGAGGACTTACGAAACCACCGCGGCCGTCCGCGTCTGGTAAATTTTACCCTGGCGGTGTGTCGTCGCCGCTTGCCGCGGCCGCCGCCTCCTCGTTCTCGTGGCGCATCTTCACGGCGCCCTCCTCCTCGGACTCGGCTGGGTCGCGCCCAGCAAGCGGCGCCTGGTGCGCCTGGACGTCCTCAGCTGCATCAGACTTCTTTGCTGCCACGCTGGTAGCCGCCGTCTCCTTCTGAATTGTTCCTGCCGCTATTCTGTTAGCCTGCTGACCCTCTGCCCTGCCAGAGCAACTCGCTTGCTCCGACATAGCACAGATGTGGGCCGCGAACTCGTTCGAAGGCACCGCGAGCTGATCAGCAAGACCATGCGAGAGGCTGTTGTGCAATACGTTCGTGCTCGCGAGGAAGGCCTGGGCTGAACAGGTGGGCCCACACTGACTCAGCGCCGTCAAAGCCGCGCCACTGCCCGCAAGAAAGGCAAGACCTGGCGGCACGTCCTACATGTACGGATCCGTGGACATGGCCTGCTGCTGCTCCCTCAGCAAGTTGTACACCATCAGCTCCAGCTCGCTCTGAGTGGTCTTGGCCGCCTCCAGGTCGGCCTTGACCAGCGCACTCTTGACCTCAATGTCGTCAAGAGCCAGCTGCTGCTTGATACTGTGATTGGAGTGCTGCTCCAGATGCTGTTGAACCTTGCATCGATTACTGTACATGGCCTGCGATAGCTGGCTCTCAGACGTCCCCGCGTCGAGCTCTAGCCTGAGTCGGAACAAGACTACCTCCAGCGCAGTCATCGCCTGCTCTGCGTGGACCTCTTCACGACCCTCGGCTCGCGTCTCCATCCCGCTCCAGAGGTCCAGAGACTGCTGGAGCTTTAGGATATTGGGGGCTAACCTTCTTCTCATCGGTGCTCTTCTCATGGGCCCTTGTTGCCAGCATCCGCCTCCTGACGCTCTGGCTCGATGTAGGTAAGGCTCCTCCTGCTGGCCGCACTGCCAGCACCACTGCTGACGGAGACTGACACTGCCCGCGCAGTGAGCGCATGTCAATGTCCATGGGAATGACTGCGCCGGGCCGTGCTGGACGGATGGCGCCTTGGACTTGGAACGAGAGACTTCCCCTTCTCCTGACCCTGGAAGCCTCCCTGGACCTTCGCACCCTTCTTCCTGCCTGCTCTCCCGCACCCTCCCATCAGCACAAACAGAAGGACAGGGTGCTGTGTTCTCCTCGCGGCCCTGCTGTGGCCCAGGTTGCAAGCACGAAGGGATGCAGAAAGGCGCTGTGCCACTCGAGGCCCCCACCTCCCCCGAATGAAAGGGAAATGGCTTGAACCAATATGTCTAACCCCAAAATGGCCCCAAGAAGCCTTCCCCTCCTCGTCCTCAAGTTCTCCCTCCTCCTCCTCCTCCTCCTCCTCCTCCTCCTCCGCGCGGAAGAAGACGAGGTCGAGATCGCCACCCTCCCGAGTTCAGACCACTCGCTGAACTGCCGCAGGACGTGAACTCGACCTTCTTCCTACCGCGCGGACGAACACGAGGCCGAACTCGCGACCCGTCCAAAGTCAGACCGCTCGTATGAATTCCGCTGTTCCTACACTCAGCTTCTTTGCTGCTGCGCTGTTGCACTGGCGGGATGGTTTGCCGCAGACAACTAGATAGCTTCAGCCAGCGTTTCACGGTGACCGACCGCATTAGCAACTGCAGCAGAAGGGTAATGGTGATAAACCTGTCTGAAAGTCTCCCTATAAGAATGAAGGGGTCTAGGGACACACCAATAAATAGACACAATCCCAGGATCCCCTTTATTCTTCATATTTCCAGGAGTTTCGTCTTCCCCCGCACTTCCCATATTTATCCATATTTCTCTTGGATTCGACGATCATGTGAGTCTGTTTGTTTTCCCCCTGAAAGAAAAGTGAAAGCCTCACTTTCGCCCGGGGGCGCATGCTAGCAATTGCGCGTGCACGTGCGAACGGGGATCACCAAAGGGCGTAAATGGGCGAGGCGGTGCAGGCGAACAAAGCGGAGGCGGCAGAGGCAGGGGAGGAGGGAGGGAAGGTGGAGGCTTAAGGTCGGCGGCGAGCCCAGGGGGGAAGCGAGACGGGGCGGGCCTTCTCAGAAGGCTCGAAAGTTCCCAGCCTTCTGCAAAGTTGTTTAAGCCTTCCTCGAAGACACAGGAAACTTCTCAGAAGGGGCGAGGGCTTCTCAGAAGCCCCGCCGCCTTCTGAGAAGGCCTTCTCCCTCCAATTTCCCCCCCTCGCTGGCCGCCGATAAGGAGGACTGTGGGACCAGGCGGCAAGATAAAGGAGGGTGGAGGCAGGACGAGGAGGGAGGGAGGGAGGGAGGGATATCCTCCCTGCTCGCCTCTCCTGCAGCGGGCCCGGCCGAGCCGCGGGCTCCTCTGCCAGGCCTGCCTGCTCATCCTCCTGCGGCTGCTCCTCTGTCGCGAGGGCGTCCGCTTCCGCGGCCTTTTGCTCGGCCTCCTCTCTCCTCTTCCTCTCCCACTCCTTCACCTGGAGGCTTGGCACGCCCCACCTCCACGCCCACGCCCACGCCCACGCCCACGCCCACGCCCACGCCCACGCCCACCCCCCCACCCAAACCCACACTCACACCCACGCCCACACCCGCAATGGGTACGGAAAAATGGGCACAATGCCCAGCAGCACGTGCTGCTCCGAAACCGACAGCGGCCGCTGTTGGGCAGACGACCGTTTAGTCTCAAATGAGCGACGATCAAAAGCGGGTCTTACGCCAGATGGCATAGCGACCTTACGCGGTGGCTTACGCGGCCCGCCCGCGCGGCACGCAATACTTGAAGCGAGGGCGCTTACGCGCGACCCTACGCGGGCAGATCACGCGCCAATGTCGGCGCAGACGACACCATCTTTTTCTGAGTCGCTCAAATGGACAACGCCCGCGGCGACACGGACAGAGCGAGGGGGGGAAGTGAGAAGCAGAAGGCCGTTTCAGAACGCGGCGGGGTTTCTCAGAAGCCATCTGGCCTTCTGAGAAGGTCCCTGTGTCGCCGGGGAAGGCTTAGAAAACTTCTCAGAAGGTCAGGGGACTTCCGAGCCTTCTGAGAGGGCCCGCCCCTTCTCGCTCCCCCCCCCCCCCGGGCTCGCCGCCAAAGTGGTCTCAAGTGGACAACGCCACCGGCGACGCAGACAGCGAATCCGCTGTCGGTCGGCGTGCCCCTCCTTGCCGCACCCGCCCCGATCGCGCCGACGGGAGGCGCACCGAAGCGGCTCGAAACGCAATACACCCCCCGCCACCGGCAGACACGCCGCGCCGAGGGCTCGTCGTCCACGCCGCTCCCACCCTCCTCCTCCTCCTCCTCCTCCTCCTCCTCCTCCTCCTCCTGCTGCTCCTCCTCCTCATCCTCCCTCCATCCTTCCCTCCCTCCTCCCTCCTCCCATCCTCCGAGCCTCGCGCGCAGCGAAAAGGTAGCCTGCGACGTACCCAGCCCCTCTTCAGCGAGTGGCCAGAACACTGGGCCGAACTCGACGAATTCGCTTCGTAGTCGGATAGTCGTGCAGACAGCACTTGGCGATCTTCGTTTCGTTTCACGTCTCACTCGACAACGCCTCGCCGCCGCTGGGCTCGTCCCTTGCACATGTTCCGCTCAAGCCTCGACGCATATCTGCCAGGACGTATTAACTGCAGGACGCTTTGTTGCATCGCAAACGTCAGCATGTTTCGGCGCTGGCCCTGTAGCTCGCGCGCGCGTGCACTTCGCATCGCGAGCCAAGCGAAACGATACCGCGAAGCAGATCCGCAACCCCATTCGAAAGTGGTGAGGGCCGATGCTGCGCTGTGCGGCCCTGTACCGCCCAGACCGAGACGGGGACCCCAAAGCAATGCGCGGCACATCGCCAGCTGGGACGCCAACTGCACGCGACTTCTGGCCATCGCTGAGCACAGGAGGGAGGAAAGGGAAGAGCAAGGGAACGAGATGAGTGGGGGGGAGGAGGAGGAGGAAACACAGCGTAACACATGTCGATTGCAGGACTGGGCCGACATGTTACCGAGGAGGGTGGAAGCACGGTGAGGGCGTTGTATTAGGACCGTGGCCATGGATATCACCGCCGCCTGATGTGGGTCTGGGCCCACGCACCACGCCGCTCCGCCGGGCCTCCCAGGGGCCCACGGAAGTGGCGACGGCTTCGCGGTTCGCAGCCCCCGGCGAGGGCAAGACCTGATCTGGGCCGCCACACCTTTGTCACTCCGCTTGGACTCCCCGCAGCTCACGACCCTGGCCAAAGCTTCGCAGCTCACAGCCCCCAGGGAACGGCGAGGTCTAATATGAAGCCCCGTGGTGTGCCCGCTCCGCTGGGCCTCCCAGGAGCTCACGAGAATGGCAACAGCTTCGCAGTTCGCAGCCCCCAGGGCGTGGCGCAGTCTCCACTGAGCCCCCGTGGTGCACCCACTCCGCTGGGACTCCCCGCAGCTCACGAGCGTGACTACAGCTTCACAGTTCGCAGCCCAGGAGACGGCGAGGTCTGTTCTGGAGCCCCGTGGTAGACCCACTCCGCGGAGCCTCCCAGGAACTCACGAGAGTTGCGACCACTTCGCAACTCGCAGCCCCCAGGGAACGGCGAGGTCTAGTCTAATCCCCTGGACCTCCCCGCAGCTCATAGCCCCCAGGGAACGGCGAGGTCTAATATGAAGCCCCGTGGTGTGCCCACTCCGCTGGGCCTCCCAGGAGCTCACGAGAATGGCGACAGCTTCGCAGTTCGCAGCCCCCAGGGAAAGGCGAGGTCTAATCTGCATCCCCGTGGTGTAGCCGCTCCACTGGGAGTGGCGACAGTTTCGCAGTTCGCAGAACCCCAGGTGAAGCGCTGGGTCGGCCTCCCTGGAGCTCACGAAATTGGCGACAATTCCACAATTCGCAGCCCCCAGGAGGTAGAGTGGCGAGAGTTGCGCAAGAGGTAGGAGGCAGGAGGGTGGTGGTGTCCACTGCATAGGGGAAGCAAGTGCCGAGCAGGGCAAAACGCACCACGACCACGACGACGACGACGACGACGACGACGACGACGACGACGACGACGACGACGACAACGGAGACGAGGCGCGCAGACCATCCGAATCGAAGCTCGTATTCGGGAAAGGTCCCACCCCGCAGGACCATTTGGAGGCAGGAGGAGGCGAGAGGAGAGAGAAGAATGGAAGCGGAAGGAAGAAGGAAAAGCAGGCAGCAGCGCGCCATCCAAAACGAGAACCCAACAGAAGAGGGTGGGGAAAAAGAAGGCGCGCGTGCTGTCCCCGCACGTGGTGGAGAGCAAGTTTCCCAAAAGCCTCCCCCTATGGAGGAGGAGACCTCCCGAAGGCCTCCAGGACATCTCCTCTTGAGCTCCCATATAGGAAGAGAGCACCTAACTGCCAGACCACCACCACTCCAAACCTGAAGACCCGAATTTTGGGTTGGAGGGATGGGCTTCCTGTGTGTGTGGGTGTTCTATGTTGCCCGACCCCCCCGGCGGGAATGGAGGGCACGTGAGCGTTTTTTATCCGGCGTTTCGACATTGGGCGGACAGGGGGGGCAGGGGGGGGTCTGGCTCCGACTGTTTGCAAGAATGCGGCCTCTGGGGGAGACCCCACCCGCTCGAAACAGGCGCCACAAAACAGCCAAGATCTACTCCATTGGGAGGGGGAGGAAAGGGAGGAGGAGGAGGACGAGGAGGAGGAGGAGGAGGAGGAGGAGGAGAAAAGGGAGGAGGAGGAGGAGGAGGAGGAAGGGGAGGAGGAGGAGGAGAGGAGGAGGAGAAAAGGGAGGGAGGAGGAGGAGGAGGAGGGAGGAAAGGGAGGAGGAGGAGGAGGAGGAGGAGGAGGAGGAGGAGGGAGGAGGGGAGGAGGAGGAGGGAGGAAGGAGGAGGAGAGGAGGAGGAGGAGGAGGAGGAGGAGGAGGAGGGGAGGAGGAGGAGAGGAGGAGGAGGAGGAGGAGGAGAGGAGGAGGAGAGGAGAGGAGGAGGAGGAGGAGGAGGAGAGGAGGGAGGAGGAGGAGGAGGAGGAAGAGGAGGAGGAGGGAGGAGGAGAGGAGGAGGAGAGAAGGAGGAGCAGCAGAGAGGAGGAGGGAGGAGGAGGAGGAGGAGGGGGAGGGGGGAGGAGAAGGAGAAGGAGGAGGAGGAGGAGATGTATGCAGGCGCGGCCGAAATCGTGCGAGCGGGGCAGGCGACGCAGACAGACTCAGGCGGAAGCCTGACAGGGTAACCTCGGGCACATCCCACACGGGAGTGCCGCACGAGGAAGGGACAGGAGGCTTGTCCGGCACGGCGCAATCGTCCTCGACCACGGCCAGGCCCCCGTAGGCGGCGTCGAGGACAAATTCGCCGAAAGGGCGAGGGCTCAGCTGTCCCTGCACAGTCGGCAGCAGCGGCTGCCTAGTCTGAGGGTGCAGGCTCTCCCAGAGACGGTCTAAACGCGCGCGCGTCTTGGGGCGCACTCCACCGTGGCAAGGGAGCGCCAACAGCTGCGCATTCTCGCTGGAGTGCGCACCACAACGGGCGCAGAAGATGAACTGGCCAGCGTGCCAGACGCGGTGGCCCCCTCCAGGGGCGCACACGGCTCGGCTGAAAGCACCCCGATGCCGAGCGACGCGGAAGCACCTGGCGCACCTGAAACCCGCGGGGGACGGCACGGGCAAGTGGGCAGCTGGGGGCGGCTCCGCGTCCGCCGAGAGGGCTGGCGTCGGCCCCCGTCGTTTGGCCCGCCGCAGCTGTCCGCGGCGCAGCGCCTTCGGCGACTTGGGGCCGACAGCCTGCATCGTCCTGGCCAGGAACTTGGCCACGAAGGTGACCAGCTTGACGCTGCACGCGCTGGCTGGCCTCGGCTTCCTTGGGATGGAGGGAGGCGCCCACGCGGGCGCCAGCATCAGCGTGGTGGTTCCCCCACCTCGCAATAGCACCCAGCTCCTGCTCGTCGTCATGACGGCGGCGGGCGTGGCCTTTCACCTCACGCAATTCACCCACCAACTCAAGGTCGCCCACCCGATCCCATATCTGAGACCACACGTCGGCGCCCTCGCACTGGCGCCCGTGGTCTTGAAACGGCCACGCTGGAAGCTCGAGACCACCCAAAAACAACCCGAGTGGTAGCGAAAGGGCCCAGCCTAGCGTGCGTGAGGTACACGAGCAGGCCGTAGGCCTCGGCCAAGTCCGACGCCCGGTGCGCGCCAGGCATCAGGCCGCACAGGGACGCCACGAGGCCTCCACTGTGGTCGACCTGCACGACGCACCAGCACGCACAAAGGAGGCGCAGGTCACCCTGCACCAGCGACGCGCACGAGCCGTCGCCGAAGGCCTCGCCTTCGAAGTGACCGCCCAGCGGACGCTTGAGCCAGCGGACGAGGAGGGGGGAGGAGGGGCCAATCACCCAGGGCCGAGGGTCGGGGACCAGGCCGCGCCTCCAAAGGGCCCAGTCGGGGTGCTCACGGAGGCCAGCACGGACAGAGGGTGGGAGGTCGTAATCCCGCACATACTGCCAGGTAGCCGAGCATTCACCCGCAATCCAGGCG